GAGCCATAGCCTTGGCAGGGGGACTAGAAGACAGGCGCAGCAGGAAGACCCCTGGGCACTCCCAAGGTGCCAGAGGCAGGAGAGAAATGGGAACCACGTGTGCAAGGCAGCCAGCTGCTCCGAGGCTGGAGGAAAACAAGACAGGGTGTGCTGGCGTAAAGGAGCGAAGGGTGGGGAGAGTGAAGGGGGTACAGGTCAAGTCCCGGCTAAGCCACGGACTGCCAGAGTAGGGACAAACCTACGTGGAGCACTGTGGCTAGGACTGACCTGGGGTGCAACCCCCTGAGATGGCTGAGCCCATCTGCAGTTCACTGCCCCCTCTCAGTGAGTTTTGGTAATCCAGCTGAAAAAAACCCCAAATTCCACTGATTTAGTGAGCTGAACTGGCTCCCTGAAGGGTCTGACAAGTGGAGTGGGACAGGAGTCCACAGCTCAGCTGTCTCATGGACCGCATTTGTGGGATCAAAGCGATGGCAGCCTGCTCTATGCAGCGTGCTAAGAAAAGATTGCAGCATCGTTCTGCAAGCCCTGCATAGACAGTTAACTTTGGTGGAGGGCAGGCGTCACAGGCTGCAATGACAAACTGCTGCAGTGACATTCACACAGTGTGTCACTCAGAGCTTGTCCTCAACAGCCCGAGTTGGAAAAAACCCACCCCAAACCCTACCACCCCACGCTGCTGGGGAGACCTGCTCTCCTTCCTGGAGAAGAAGAGAGTCTCTGAAGCACGAGCGTAACTAAACGTACAAGCAGCCATGTCCTTTGGCACAGGAAACCGGCACTCTTGCACTCTCCCAAGGATGCAGGGGGAAGGCATGCACCCGCAGCACACCAGGTGCTAAAGAGGGCTTTGAAGCAAGAAGTATTGTCATTCTGAATTCATGTCTAGACAAGATTTCTCCTCTTAGAAGTAGCCCAATTGAAATGGCCCAAGAGCATTGAGGCCTGTGCTCATAGATCAGGCTGCCATCCCCACTTGCGATCAGCAAAACCACCTTCATGCTGGTGAGTGAGTCTCTGCTCCAACGGAGAAGGATGAGAATAAATCCAATCCCATCTCAGCTTCCCTCACTCACAGTATTTCAGGTTTCCAGTTCTTGTAGCATGCCTGCTCCTGCACAGTATGATACCCCATTACATTAACACACACACGTTATATGTGCATGATATTAAAGGTGACATTCCCAGCAAATAAACATGACAGACTGCCATTGCTCTAGGCACCTAATTTAATTTCCTCTGGGATTTAAACCTTAGAAGCTCAAATTAAACAAATAGGCCCCGTTCACTTTACATTTCAGACCTGAATCTAGAGTTTTCCTCCGATGCAGTTAAGCGATCTTATCAACAGGACACTGCACAGAGATCACAATGATGAAGCAGCTTATTCCCTTCCCAAAGGAAAACAGAGCCCTGCTGTTGTGCTGCAGCCATGGGAAAAGCCAACGCAATCTGGAAGGCAAACGAAGCCGTCCCATGCGCACTGAACAGGCCTTTTCTCCCATGAAATCTCTCAGATGGCATTGAGGAAGCGAAGGAGCTCTCCTGAGTGGCGGCGGGCATCCCGAGTGCTGCAGCGGCCAGGCGCTCGCAGCGCTGTGTTTTCACAGCTCTGTGCAAACACTCCTGCCGACCCAGCCTGCCGAAGCTGGTTTCAGGGTGTAGCTCAGCCTTTGTAATGGCTGTTTGCAGTACGAACAGGGAACGGCCCCGCCAGCCAGCTGCGGGTATCTGAAACATCTCCTTCAGTGCTGCACAGTCCTGCTGGCATCAGGATCTCCCTGACCTGACCCAGAGAGGCCTGGACACGTGCTATCCCATTGCTGGCAGATCCAGACTCCATTTTTTGTATGCTTTGAGGCTCTGTGACTGTTAGTCATGCTGCAGATGCTTGGAAGATGATGACTAGCCAAAAGATAAGTCCCTGTTTTCTACCACAGGCACCTACCACACATCTGAGGTCCGAAGTTTAGGTTCTCACCGCCTCACTAATAGCTGCATGTGTCCAGACACGTTACAAAATACCAGACTAGGCTGTCTTATTCAGGTGGATGTGTTCAGGGAACACACAGGCTGCGTGCATGATGTCTCCCTCTCGTGGCAAGTCCCACCTGAGCTTGCTGAAACCTACTTCTTACCTACAGGGCTTACCTACAGGTCAACTGAAGGAGCTTCTGTTGAAGCTTTCGGTGTTGAAGCTTTCATACCCGCAGATAGTTGAGAAACCTTATTATGACTTGTTACAGGTACGTGGCTGCAAGTGTATGAAAACAGCCGAGATCTAAAAATGTACACAAGGTCATGGGGCTCTAGACCAGTTCGGCTGACTTTGAAAGCAACCAGTTCTTAGTAAAACATTAAAGACTTTATAGTCAGCTTATAGATACCACCCCAGAGTTAACACCCCATCTCTCACTATAGGGTTCAACCCTACCATGAGAGCTTGAAATTCTCAGTGTGGGAAAGGCTGGCTGGAGCCAGAGGTCATACCGATGTTGAAAGCCTGGCACAGCTGGCAAGACTTTGATTAAGGAAGACCCTCAGAAGCTGATCTAGGAATTGAACTGCAGCTCTGTCCAACTTCAGGAAACATGCTTTGTCCAGGCTAAGATACAAGCTATTGGCCCAGGGACAACTAAGCAGGGGTGCTTTTACTGATAATACCCAATTTTCTTGCCTACCTAGAAACAAACCAAACAATCCCACACTTTGCCCTAGTGCTTTGTTTGCATTAAACACAGCCACTTGCTTTTCTAGCAGG